AGAAAGGGTTGCCTGTTGCACTTGTTGAATATGAAGGAGAACAGCATGGTTTCCGTAGGGTATACATCATTTTCCAGACTTGGGGATAAATTTTTGTCTGTCTGCCTTGGAGGAATTTAGCTGATTTCTTTCATCATATGCAGGCTGAAAATATTAAATTCACCCTTGAACAACAAATGGTGTTCTTTGCACGTTTAGTGGGACATTTTGAAGTAGCAGATGAAATTACTCCTGTCAAAATTGATAATTTTGATTGAGGTATACGACTCCTGAATGGTCTGCACCATAGAGTTGTTCAATACCATTGCCATAACTAAGGAAAAAGTTGATGACGGAGAGAGAAGCAGCCGTTTGATTTAATTTGCTGGAGCAGTTATACTTGAGGAAACATTTTTGTTTAATAACATCATCAAATTTGCTGATCAAAGAAACTAGAACATCGTCAAGCGCACAGAACACTTGGAGTTTGCTCTTGACAGATTGCTTAATGTGGCAGTAAGCCTTGAGGGAGAGGAATTGTGATGGGTTTGGGTGTGGATTGCTGGATGTATTTTCTCTTTTCTGAGTGCTCTCTTTAGCTTTGGTACCATGTGAAATGAGAAATCTTATTGAATTGGTTAGAAGTCTAATCCCTGAAGCCTCCTATAAAAGATTGTACACTGATCGTTCTTATAACAGCTAGCCTAATTTGTGAAATTCTTAACGAAAGATTTGATAACAACTAGTCTGAAACTTTTAAAAAAGTAACTCACGTTTTTATATTTCTTGTCGACTGGATAATATGGAAGACGGATAGTAAGTGAAACAATAAGGGATGAGAAGTCAGTTCATAAGTTGTAGTATTAAGGCAAGGAAAAAGAGGTTTCTGGATTTTATTGTTCAGCTTTGGTCTACTTCATTTTTTTCTTTGACTATGATTTTGAAAGCGTGAAGAAAAGTTGAATGCGTACATTTGCAATTTGATGGTTCAGATGGTTTTCAATGTTTGTCTCTGCCTGAAGAGCTGGAAGGAAAGAAACAGTAGTTGTGTTGTGTTATTGCGTATTGGCATGTTTAATAACTTCTTTTAAGATATCACAAGTGCATGAAAAAAAGGTTTGGTCAGATGCACCGCAACAAATCGAAGAAGTTGTGTTATTGCGTATTGGCTTATTTAAATGCCTAAAGACAAGATAGCATAAAGGAAGAATCGGAAAGAGTTGTGTGGAAGATATAAGACAAAATTTAGTTTTTGGTTTCGGAGAGGGATCCCTTAGGCATATCTGTGGCATTGCCACGCTATTTAGACAACACATAGCATACTTATGAATTACCATTAGAGATGATGTCTTGCATATTCAGAGACTACTTAAGAATGAATACCTAAACAACTCAAGGGCCTATAGGCTTGGATTTAAAAAGAGTTGGGCTTGGTTTGACTTGAAGTCAAAGCTTGGCTCGGTCTGCCTCCGGCAAAGCTTGGTTCAATTCGATTTTGCTCGGTTGGATCGTAGAGTCTTGTAGTACAAAGTAAATCAGTAATTAGTTAACTTAAATATTAATATATTAATTTAATAATTGGAAACTTGTTTGGTAATAGCAACTCTCTATAAAATGAATTTTGTTATTCTTTATGCAGAACAACAAATTTTAGTCAGATGATAACTTGAGCTATTTTCCGGTGAGATGAAATGAAATTAAAAAAAATAAATTTAATAATTTGTATTATTATCGAAATTTGATTAAGCCCAATTTTTTTATTTATCGCTGATTTAATTTTTGGTTTAGAATTTTTACTTTATATCATATACTCTGTTTAATAGCTAGTATTCGAATGTAATGTATAAATTAAAATTTATTTCAAAGTAATTCAATTACATTTGAATTCAATTATCAATTTAAAATATTGCTTCGATAATTTATCATTAATTCAATTTTTTCTACAAGTATAGCCACACATGCGAAAAAGAATTTGGTTAAATTTGCTCGCGTCATGTCAACATTCGGATTGAAGCAGAAATCAAAAGAAAATGATCTAGGGTTTTGAATAGAGAAGAAGAAAAAGTTGAGAGAAAATGTCTTCTTATTTGCGTGAAAAAATGATAATCGTCCATCTATTCCAGAAGATCCAATCATTTATATACATTAGGCCAGGACCCGAAATCTAAACGAATAAACAGACATAAATAATTACTAATCTATACAAAGGCCCAAGTTAGTAGCCCATGTCTTCCCATTAGGTTGAGCCTTCTCCAATTAGTCTTTCCATGTAAAGTAGGAGGTCCAACACCCCTCTTCAAGTTGGAGGGTGATACAACCCCCGACTTGGACAACTTAGAATGATTGAACACCAGTGAGGGGCTCGGTGAGCACATTAGCAGTTGGACAGAAGTGGAAACATAATGTAGATCAACCAGGCCTTCAACAAGCTTATGACGAATGGAATGTCAATCCAGTTCAATGTGTTTCGTGCATTCATGGAAGACAAGATTGCGAGCAATGTGAATGGCAACCTGATTGTCACAAAAATAGGGATGTTAGCATCAGCAGAAACACCAAAATCAGCGAATAAATAGACCATCTAAGTCAATTCAGCAACCAGCTCTCTAATAGCACGATATTTAGCCTCAGCTGAAGATAAAGAGACTACATGTTATTTATTGGACTTCCACCCAATAAGAGACCACCCAAAAACACACAAAATCCAGAAACAGACAAATGAGTGTCATGGCAAGAAGCACAATCACTATTGTAGAACCCAGACAAAGACAAGTCAGAAGATTTATTAAAGAACACACCAACATCAGATGTACCCTGGAGGTAGCGCAATAAGTGTAAAGCAGAAGCAATGTGAGGAAGACGAGGGGTTTAGAGGAATTAACACAAATGTTGCACAACATAATATAAATCTGGTCGCGTATGAGTGAGAAAATTCAATTCTCAATCAGGTTGCGATAAGATTTAAGAGAAGGAAGTAACTCACCCACATCAGCCTTCAGCTTAACATTCAGGTCTAAAAGACAATTAACAAGAGTTGCATCAGCACATTTATATTCCGTCAATAGGTCAGAAATGAACTTGTGATGATGAAGAAGGAGCCAAAGCAAAATGTGCAACCTCAATACCCAAAAAATAATTGAGAGTACCCAGATCTTTAATCTTAAACTAGGTATCCAGAAAACCCTTAAAGTAGCAATTTCAGTATCATCATTTTCATTCAAGATGATATCATCTACATAAACAACAATAAGAACTACAGAGGAGGAATAATGCCTGACAAACAGTGAGTAATCATTCATAAAGTGGACAAAATATTTAGAGCACAATGCTTGAGAAAGCTTGGCATACCACTGCCTTAAAGGTGCCCCAAACTATATAATGATTTTTGAAGCTTGCACACCAAAGGGGGAGAAGAACTAGAAATAGACTCAGTAGTCAGTACACAAACTAGGGAGAAGCTTCATGTATATCTCTCCATTCAAATCACCATGCAAAAAATCCTTATTAATATCAAATTGAAAGCGCGGCCATTTTCTTTTAACTTCCATAACCATAAGACACTTGATAGTATAGAATAAATGATAGGGGAGAAAGTATCATTAAAATCTACCCCTTCCACCTGAGTGTCCCCTTTCATAATCATGCCACTATTAGCTTTATATTTGACTTTATAAACCCATTCGCAGTCAATAAATTTTTTTCTTTCAGGCAACCCAAGTATTGTTAGCCTCAAGTGCCTCAAATGCCTTTTTCATAGAAACACTATTAATAAACCATAGAATAACAAAAGATAAAGAATTGGAGCCATTTAGGGAAGGAGAAAGGTCACACACATCATCAATAAAATGTGATAGTAAATGATGATCTCTAGAGGACTTTTTGGGAGCCTGAAGACAGAGAGGCTCAGGAATAGTAGAGAAGAAAGGAGAAGCAGGGATATGAAAGGAAGTAGATGGAGAAATAGAAGTAGATAGAGGCAAAAAAGAAGTGGGAACTGAAGAGGGATATGGAGGAGTAGGAGAAGAAGTGGGAACATAATCAGAAGAATAAAAAGAGAAAACAAGAATAGTATATGGAGAGGCAAAGAAGAAGAAGTTGCACATTCGTCAAATAGGAAAACGTGCTCAAGAAAAGTGACATTCCTTGAAACAAGAACCTGCTTAGTAGACAAGTTATAGAACTTGAAACCCATTTTGGCAAGAGGACAGCCAATGAACACATAAGGGCCAGCACTAGGATGAAACTTATCCCTATGATACTTGGGAATTGTATGAAAATAAAGACAACCAAAGGTTTCAATGAGAATAAGTGGGTGCATGACCATTAAGAAATTCAAAAAGGGATTTATCATGTAACAACTTAAAAGGAAATCTGTTGATAAGGTATATGGTAGTAAGTACAAATTCCCCCAAAATCTGATAGGCAACTTAGACTCAAAAAGGAGAGTCCTTGATGTTTTCAACAAGTATTTATGTTTTATCTCTACAACACTATTCTGTTGAGGTATATGTGGACAGGTAGTTTGGAGAATTATCCCTTGGTCTCTAAAAAGTTGGACACCGTGGTTACTAGAACCAAGTTCCAATGCATTGTTACTTCTAATGGACTGCATTTTGGTCTGAAATTGAGTTTGAACTATGAAAATAAAAGATTGAAGTAAAGAAAAATCGTTACTTTTGGAACCCATGAGTTGATCCAAGTAGTCCTAGTAAAATCGTCAACAATAGTGAGAAAGTAATTATAACAATTATAAGTAGGTGTAGAATAAGGCCTCCAAGTGTCACCATGAATAAGTTTGAAAAGATGAGAAGTCTTAATGCATCTATCGGGGAAAGGCAACCTAGATTGTCTAGCCATAGGACAAGTAAAGCAGGTAAATGAATGTTTAGAAGAAAATTTACAAGGAATACTAGCAATATCTTTCATTCCAACAAAAGGAATATGTCTCAATCTTTGATTCCATAAGACTTCATCTTTATTGATATCAAAATGATGCAGAAACAATAAAATAAGATTTACAATGAGAGTTATCATATGAAATAGATAGTAAGGCAGCAAAAACTAAATAACAATATTTGGAATCAACATGCTTAAACTGAGTTGGAGACATTAGAATTTTGTAAAGTCCATGCTCCAACTTACCAACTTCCAGTGTCCTTTTTAGTAAAGGGGCCTGTAAAGTACATAAAAGTGAGATAAATTGAATCAAATCATGTAGTTGGATAGCTAGTTGAGACATAGAGATAAGATTGTATTGAAAAGTAGGGAGAAACGGCACATGATGCAAAGTAAATGAAAAGAAAATGAGAGAACCTTTACATTATAACCACTGGGAAGGGTAACAATATAAGGAACAACTAGAGGCTAAATATTAGATCGAAGATCTTTGTGTGAAGTCATGTGATATATAGCTCCAAAATCCAAAATCCAACTATGTTCAGCAACTCTACTTTACAATGAAGTACTATAAGACACTTCTACACAGCTAGCTAAAGAAATATTACCAGCCAAATTGGCAGATGCAACAAGACTAGACTGAGGGAGAGAGACTTTGGCATATGAATGTGTTACATAATCGACATTAGCTAGGTGTATTTATCCTCGGTCAACCCAAGAACCAAAAACCAGAGTTAGACTGATAGGAGGATTGTTGGACTAGCGCATACGTAGATGACTCATTATTGGAGGAGACCATTCAACCTCAGCATATGCAGCAT